GATGGAAATCCAAGGTTTGCCCAGTGGAAGTCGGCTGCAGAGGCTTTGTGGGCAAGTCAACCATCAGGCTCCTTATGGAACTGGGAGTGTGAGACCAACCCCTACGCCAAACCATCAAAGCCCTCTCAGGTGCAGCAGAAGAAGCAAGCCGATGGATATGGGTGAAAAGGGGAGAGTCCAACTGGGCCCCTAATACCACTTGTGACATTTAAGGGTTGAAAGCAGAGGGGGGCACACCTGGGACGCCAGGTGATGCCGATGAGCCCTCTGGAGGTGTCGTGCCTATCATTGAAACAGCAGAGAAGGGGGTGCCCACCTGATGACCCCATTGAAGCTTAAAACCCCCATTCTTATCCCACTAAACCATTACCAAAGTGATGAAATCACTCCGATGGACGCATTGTTACCACTCAGACCAAAAACCTGTCACCACTAAAGAGAGGAAACCACTTTGATGGATGCATCGTCACCACTCATACCTCAGGTCTTAAACAGGGGATTGTTTCACCTAGTCCTAAAACATAATTAATTGGACAAACATTGGGCATAGCAAGCACAACAATATGGAATGCCCTGAAAAAAAAAGAAACTACTGAAGTACAGAGTAACAGACGTCGAACAGGTCGGCCGAGGAAAACAACAGTAGCTGATGACAGAAGTATTGTTAGAGCTGTGAAGAAAACCCCCAAAACATCAGTAAGTGACATCACCAACGACCTCCACAGTGCAGGGGTGAAGGTATCACAATCCACTGTTCGAAGAAGACTCAGAGAGCAGAAATATAGAGGCCAAGATGCAAACCACTCATCAGAAGTAAGAATCGGAAGGCCAGATTGGAATTTGCAAAGAAGTACAGAGATGAGCCGCAAAAGTTCTGGAACACAATCTTGTGGACTGATAAGACCAAGATTAATCTCTACCAAAGTGATGGAAAGGCCAAAGTGTGGAGAAGCATGGTGGAGGTAATGTCATGGCTTGGGCATGCATGGCTGCTTCTGGAACAGGCTCATTGATATTTATTGATGATGTAACTGATGATGGTAGCAGCAGAATGAATTCAGAAGTGTACAGAAACATTTTGTCTGCCAATTTATGGAGAAATACATTGAAACTAATCAGGAGAAAGTTTATCATGCAGCAGGACAATGACCCAAAGCACACTGCCAACAAAACAAAGGAGTTCATCAGGGGGGAAAAGTGGAAGGTTTTAGACTGACCAAGTCAATCACCTGACCTTAACACAATACATTTCACCTCCTTAAGAGGAGACTGAAAGGAGGAACTCCCAGGAACAAACAAGAACTGAAAGAAGCTGCGGTAAAAGCCTGGCATCACAAATGAGGAATGCAACAGTTTGGTGATGTCGATGGGTCGCAGGCTTGAGGCAGTTATTGCAAGCAAGGGTTATGGCACCAAATATTAAATGTTATTTACTTTAAGATTATTTGTTCCAATACTTTTGCTCACTTGAAAAATGGGTGGGTTCAAACAAAGGGTGGTATGTTGTGAGTTGTTTAACACATCTAGATGTGAATACCAGGAAATAAAAGCTGAAATTCTGAACTATTGTCTCATACTCATCTTTTGATCTAAAACCCAAATATCTTCAGTGAACAACAAAAACAAAGAAATTTGCCTTACTGTTCCAATACTTTTGGAGTGGACTGTATGTGTGTGTGTGTGAGGGGGAAACGGAGGTGGTAGAAAACTTTGGTTTTAGTCTCCATCTATCTACAAGATGAACGTCGGTCTCTTTGAATCCATCTTCTACTTTTGTCGAAAGTTGTGTTGCTCGAGTTGTCTTCTCTGATATGGAGAATGGCGGCGAATACACAAACCTGCCAGACATAGCCAGGCGAGCGTGCCGTGAACGTGCATGACGTCACGCCCAGTCTCAAATTCGAGTCCGAATCTAATTTATTTTACTGTACAGGGTTATAGAGGCAATCACAGTGATCAGAGAAGGGCTCATTCAGGCCATCAGGCAATTGTTTAAGCATGTATGGGTTAGAAAAATGGCTATTTTTAACATGAAATGTTACATAATGCACCTTTAAGTGCCGGCCTCATTGACACGACAGCCATCGGCACTGATCCTCAACATCTCGTCTACAAACTGGCGTGATTACTTCGACTTACAAACAGATGGAAATGGACAAATACTCTCAGGGGCGGTTTCCCGGACAGAGATTAAGCCTAGTCCTAGAATAAAACGGCCCTTTAAACCTGATTAACAAAAATCTGCTTTCTATGTCATGGCTTTAAATAGTCCTAGATTTTAGTTTAATCCAGAGTTTAATAAGCCGATTTCCTGGAGGAAGACTACAGTTACTCCAGGACTAAATTGAGTCTTAAATTAAACCTACCAGGAGGCAGGTTTAACTTCAGATTAACTTTGTGTTTCAAAGAAGACACCTGCATTACTTGGATACACACACATTCAGTACATATATTAATATATCATTTAATTATGTTTTAATTGTATCGGGTTTCTTGTTAAAATGTGATTAGTTCATGTTAAACTAACTTGAAATGGTCACTTAACTTTGACTTCACTTGATGTTTTAATTTTGAAATGTTTCAATCTAGTAACCTATACATGACATTCACTTCCCATCATGCTTTGCACAGGGCTGAAATGTAAATTTTGAAATAAAGTGATATTTTATGCAATTATTTTATTAAGATGAGAAAACAGAGAGAATGTTTAATGTTCTATTATTATGTTGTTATTTAAACGTTTATGTTATGTTAGTGTTTTTGGGGGTTACCGTTTCGGTGAAGCCTTGGATCGAAGACCTGCTACAAAAATTCAAGCTGTATAATTAATAAAGCAACCCCTAGGTACTACTCTAGTTGAAAGTATTGCTTCTAGACTGTCAACACCGAACCCCACATGTGTAAAGTAATGTTTTAGTAAGTTTGTTATGTAAATCACAGGAATAAACAAGAAGAATTAATTATAGCATATGAGTTGTTTGAATAATTCATTTTAAATGAAAACCATTCTTTAAAGAACATCATTGATTCTAGTTGTACATCGTTGATTTTACATGTATTTTGTTATATACATATACACACACAAATTTCCGACATTTCTTCTCTTTTATTCCATAGCTGTGTGCAGATTATTTAGCTTGCATAAAAATAATTTTCTCTTGTTAGTTTATGTTTTTTGATTGCAATCTTTTTCTGATCCCATTGTTTTCCTTGGATTTTCTTCTCAGTTCCATGCAATTTTAAGCTTTTCTTGGTTCATTCCGTGTTTTATAGGCAACCTCTGTCATGCTAATTCAGATTAGCACAGTTGGTTTTAATTTAATCTGATTTATTTTAGTTCAGGACTCCATAGTCCAAGTGTAACTTAATCGTGTCTTAAAAAATGGCTTTTTGTAACACAGATTAAGTACTAATCTGTGTTACAAAAAGCCATTTTTTAAGACACGATTAAAGCTAGGGTATACGATTTCAAAGATTGTTCATTATTAATATCCTCGTTTAGATGCTGGTTATGGTTATATAGTACAATCCTAACAATATGAATAGAAAAAAGAACGAAAAAAATCCATTCACTCTATTGGCTGTACAGCCGCAGAAAAGTTGACCAATGTAAGCTGTGCGGCCGCACAGCTTATATTGGTCAACTGCTCTCATCCAATCACCAGCTCCACTTGAAACTCCGCCTGGCGCTCGCGTCTCCAACCCAATCGCACCCGCACCCGCCCCCGCCCCCTCCGTGCGTGAGCAAACAGCTGACAGACTGTCTATGGTAGCTAGCTAGTAGCGTCAGATCAGCAATGGATAAAGCAATGGATAAAAATATAAACGACAACAGCAAGCGGCCCCTGCTTGCCTCTACTGTAAAGTTTGGACGCAAAAGAAAGTCTGTGGAGGAAAGATCAGATATTAAAAAGAAATGTGAAGAACGCCGGACTCTAAGTAGGATAAATATAGCGTCCTTCATTGACCATTGGAGAAAGCTTCAGGGATATCTGGGGCTGAAAACGACGCTGACACGGATGACTTTTTGTTGAGCAGGTAAACATTTATTTATTCTTTATGGTGTGACGTGTTACGTGGCTTTTTATCAGTTTGACAACTTGCTCATGCTGCCGGTCGGCATTGGAATGTTAGCCGTTTAGCATCGCCGATCGCGGTTCAAAGTAATTATATTTCTTGTTCGAGGTTTCTGTTCGAGCCGATCGGAATTTGAACAAGATGCGCTGCGTGCTGCAATAACAATTACTGAAAACCTTAGCAATACTAGTAGTATTATAATGGTGGTGGGGAGTTTAGAACATTTCATGTGTTGCTAATCTTGCGTTGACGTGAACTCAAACGTGACATACGTCAGGGATCAAGTAGCGCAGAGGGGAGGGGGGTGTGTGTGGAGGGGCGGGATGAGTTTTTTAAAACTTCCCTACCGTCTCGACCGATTTTTAACATCGTATACCATAGCTTTAACTATTCTAGATTAAGGCCTACTCCAGGCTTAATTTAAACCCTGTCCGGAAAACCGCCCCTCAATGTTTCAATCCAATTTTTTTTGTAATCACTGTTGCTTTGTTGGCCAGAGGAGAACTGGCCCCCGACTGAGCCTGGGTTCTCCCAAGGTTTTTTTCTCCATTCAGTCACCTGATTGAGTTTTGGTTCCTTGCCACTGTTGCATTGGCTTTTGGCTTGCTTAGTCGGGGATATTTAATATTCAACAATATTATTGATCTGTGTTGTATTATTTTCATGTTATCACAGTGAAGCTGCTTTGATACAATCTGTATTGTAAAAAGCAATATATAAAGGTGACTTCACTTGACATGATAAAAATATCTATATATAGAAAGCTTGAACTGTCTTTAAATGAAACACACAACATTGATAACAACTCACAAAAACCACCTGATCTATTTCATAATTACCAGGGCTAAAACATCTTAAACTGTAACAGTTTGGACAATCAAAGAAAGCAAGCTAAAGAAAGCTAAAAACATGCTAGAACTCACCTTGTCTTTGACTTGCTGAAGGTAGATCTCGGTTGGACTGAAATGCCAGTCTTGAACTGGAATTATTTCAATGACAGAGTACAATGCATTAATAAAGTACAATGTTTAAGGTGTTTTCTTCTTCAGCTCTTCTATTTCCACATCCATCATAAGTTGTCTTTTATTAGAAGGATACATGCCATGTCTACACTGCATATAAATACTATTCACTGCCTCTGACGTTTTATGTTTCTTCATTGTTTTCAGTTGTAAAATATTTTCAAATGTATTTTATTCCTGTGATGCAAAGCTGAATTTTCAGCTACCATTACTCCAGTCTTCAGTGTAACATTAATATTTTTGTTTAGATAATAATATTAGAATAATATTGTTTGGATTAATTGATGAATAGAAAGTTTGGTAACACTTAAAAGTAGGGTAGGCAATTTCGGAGAGGGTAGCAGAGTTCCCACACCTCGGTTAACTTCAAATTCAAGGACTTTCCAGGTCCAAAACCCTCAAATTCAAGGACTTGGGGACAACATAGTGTAGATCATATAAATTATAAGATATTCCAAATATCTTGAAATTTGCATTTTCCAGGTCTCAGCCTATTTTTGCAGTGTTTCACGGTGTGTTTGTGAAGCGTTGAGGTACCATCATAGTTGTTTTGTGCGCGTGTGAACGTCATGGCAACTTATAAGTACCTTACGCGGGAAACACTAAATGTAACGCGTAAATGTGAGTAACTGACGTAAATCAAGCAAGCTAATATTCATGTGTCCCGAAGTGTTGGCGAAATAACACATTAGCGGACCGGAGGGATTTTTTTTTTCCAGAAAAGCTCTTGCACAAAATAAATTAAAGCACTTTCAAGGACCTGTATCTATTTTCAAAAACTTTCCAGGGCCTTGAATTTTGTTTTTCAAATTCACAAACTTTCAATGATTTCAAGGACCCGTGGGAACCCTAGGGTAGGAATAGCGACCATTAAAAGCATGAGATCCTAGGGCTGGGTGATATGGAAAAAAATATCATGGTTCATGATTTTTGTTAGAAAAATAATGGTTCACGATTTTATCACAATTCTTTTTCATGTTCGATTTAACATTTTGCAACTTGCAAGTGACTGAGCATTATAGCCTAACTAATGCCTCCATTTGAAATAAAAAAAAAACTGTGTGCCTTGAGCTAGTTCACGGAGTGCAATGGTGTTGTACATCACACGTAGGCTCACTATTGGCCGATGCTGGTCATGTGTGTGTTGCGTGTGACATATAAACTAGAAATGCCAAATTATCAAATTAAAAGAAATAAAGAAAGAACAGCCATAACCTCCATCAGAAACTAAGCAGGGAAGCTAACCAATTCACCAGTTGAGATAAACAAGATATTTCAAGATATTACTATACAAAATTAAAGCTGCAAGCAGCAATGGGCGGGCCCCTAGCACCTGTAGCGCGTCGGGGTGTGAGGCGCTGCGTTGCATATTCTGCAGCTCGGCCAGTGCGGCTGTGCATTTGCTATGCTTCTTCGTTAAAGGTCACTTCCTGTTGCCAGCAGGTGGCGCTATAACTGTGGGTGAATGTCAGCATGTAGATTTGTTCAGGGCGGGACTCTTCTCAAATGTGTAAAATTTGGTGCAGATCTGGGCATTTACAGCCAAATTACTACAACTTCCTCTTTCATGGCGAATCATCGACGCCACAGACACGCCCATCAACGAAAACACGCAGACAGCACAACTTTACATCATCAGTGCCTTTGGAAGCCACAGCAGAAATTTGAAGTCGATCCGACTAAGTCCGTAGGAGGAGTTAGTTAAAGTACGTAATGAGTAAATCATCCAAAAATGGCGGTAAAATTAGAAATGGCCGACTTCCTGTTGACTTTAGGGCATCGCTCCAAGAGACTTTTTTGTGCGTCTGGACATGGTAGATGTACCACAGAAATTTTGTACATGTTGGTCAAACGTGCGGTGGGGGCTGCTACGTTAAAAGTCACTTCCTGTTGCCAGCAGGTGGCACTATGACTGTGGGTGAATGTCGGCATGTAGATTTGTTCAGGGCGGGACTCTTGTCAAATGTGTAAAATTTTGTGCAGATCTGGGCATTTACAGCCAAGTTACTACAACTTCCTGTTTCATGGCGAATCATCGACGCCACGGACACGCCCATTGATGAAAACGCGCAGATAGCACAACTTTACATCGTCAATGCCTTTAGAAGGCACAGCAGAAATGTGAAGTCGATCGGACTAAAGCCCTAGGAGGAGTTAGTTAAAGTACGTAATGAGTAAATCATCCAAAAATGGCGGTAAAATTCGAAATGGCCGACTTCCTGTTGAGTTTAGGGCATCGCTCCAAGAGACTTTTCAGTGCGTCTGGACATGGTAGATGTGCCACAGAAATTTCGTACATGTCGGTCAAACATGCGGCGGGGGCTGCTTCGTTAAAGGACACTTCCTGTTGCCACTAGGTGGCGCTATGACTGTGGGTGAATGTCGGCATGTAGATTTGTTCAGGGCGGGACTCTTGTCAAATGTGTAAAATTTTGTGCAGATCTGGGCATTTACAGCCAAGTTACTACAACTTCCTGTTTCATGGCGAATCATCGACGCCACGGACACGCCCATTGATGAAAACGCGCAGATAGCACAACTTTACATCGTCAATGCCTTTAGAAGGCACAGCAGAAATGTGAAGTCGATCGGACTAAAGCCCTAGGAGGAGTTAGTTAAAGTACGTAATGAGTAAATCATCCAAAAATGGCGGTAAAATTCGAAATGGCCGACTTCCTGTTGAGTTTAGGGCATCGCTCCAAGAGACTTTTCAGTGCGTCTGGACATGGTAGATGTGCCACAGAAATTTCGTACATGTCGGTCAAACATGCGACGGGGGCTGCTTCGTTAAATGTCACTTCCTGTTGCCAGCAGGTGGCGCTATTACTGTGGGTGAATGCCAGCATGTAGATTTGTTCAGGGCGGGTCTCTTGTCAAATGTGTAAAATTTCATGCAGATCTGGGCATTTACAGCCAAGTTACTACAACTTCCTGTTTCATGGCGAATCATCGACGCCACGGACACGCCCATCGACGAAAATGCGCAGATAGCACAACTTTACATCGTCAATGCCTTCAGAAGGCACAGCAGAAATTTGAAGTCGATACGACTAAATCCCTAGGAGGAGTTCGTTAAAGTACTGATTGTGTAAATCGTCCCAAAATGGGCGCCAAATTCAAAATGGCCGACTTCCTGTTGAGTTTAGGGTATGGGTTCTTGAGGCTTTTTTGTGCGTCTTGATATGATACACGTCCCCACCAAATTTCGTGTTTGTAGGTTAAACGTGGACGAGGGGCTAATTTTTTCCAATTTTCTAGGTGGCGCTAGGGAGCCATTTTGCCACGCCCATCCTCGAAACCCACAAAATACGAAATTTTTCACCAGTCCTGACATGCGTGCCAAATTTGGTGAGTTTTTGAGCATGTTGAGGCCCCGAAAATGGCGCTTACTTTGCAGAAAAAAAAAAAAATAAAAAAAAAATATAGCTGCGAGCAGCGATTGCGGGCCCAAGCCGGTGGCACCGCAACCCTGATGCCTTTAGTTACCCAAAGGCACCGGGATGGTGGTACCGCCGGCTTTGGCCCTTTATCGCTGCTCACAGCTATATTTATATTTAATATAAAGCCGGTGGCACCGCCACCTTGGTGCCTTTAGGTTTATTCTGTACGACGTGTAAAAACGTAACCCCGCTTTGACTATCAAAAAGAAGTGTATTGTAGAGCTTGCATCAATGCGGACTCGATGCGCTGTGCGCTGTAACTCCATGTGGCTTTAAGCGCATCATTCTCCACTCGGGATGCGCATAAGCGTTTTGTGCAACACTGTACTGAGCCTTTCATATCATAATGCAGTGACGCAATGACAGATTATTAATTGCCTTTCTTGTTCTGTTCCATCTATTATATGTTGATAATAGATAGGAAAGAGCACTAAAAACCTCAAACAAAGCACTAAAAACTTAAGCTGTTTGCTGTGTAGTCTGAGAATGAGCTGTTTGATTTGCACCCTCTTCCTCTTCACTGTCCTCCATAAAAACCAGCTATCCAGGTCCATGTTGTTCTAGAAAGTTTGTATGTTGCTGCCTCAATTAACATCTCTGCTATACATTTAAAACATGGCTATATCTAAAATAATTTATCTTTTTGATTTTTGTCATCTTGTTTTTCATGAATATTTTACAACAATACAAAGAGCAATGTGTATTTTCCATTAATATAGTTTGTAATGGCTTTTTTTGTCATAGATTATAATCATATATTTTTTGGATTTGTTATTTATCTTTATAATGAAGTTGTCTGTATTAAGTAGATTGTGTTTAACACACAAGAGTGATTTATTAGTTCAACACATAGTTATAGAAATTCTACTTTATCTAAAAAAACCCTGCACTTTATACACACACACACACACACACACACATAAATACATGTAAATAAAAATACCAAAAAAAAAAACATCAAATGTGTTTTTAGTCAGAGTATTATTTTATACAGAAACAAATATTTGTAATTCAGATAAGAATGAAGTTAGTGTTTTAAAATCTTAAGGAAAACAAATATATTGAAATATAGCACATGAATTTTAAATTCATTCAACTTCAATTACAAATACAATCTTACTTTTATTTAAAGCAAACTATACATTTAAAAGATGGGGGTTATATGCCTTTTTTGTCATTTAAAAATACTGTTATGCAAATTGTTATGCAAAAAGACAAGGACTTAGAGACAAGGACTTGTAGGAAAAATCACAGCCAGCCACACACACACACATAAACACAGACAACAGCCCTCCCCTCCCCACACAGACACACACAGAGAGAGAGAGAGAGAGAGAGAGAGAGAGAGAGAGAGAATCGCAGGGGAAATAAATCCATTCAAACTACAATATCTGACTTTCTGTTGCTCAGAGCGAATGACTTTAAATTGGAAAGTTGATCGGCTTGACGAGAACAATATACGTGGTAAGTTTTGTAACTGTAGGTAAATTGAGCAAAGTTATAACACACTTTATGTG